CAATTTCATCGGGGAAAGGAACGCCACGGCGCTGTCTTACGAGGGCCGCGCCTCGGCGCGTGACGGAGTGCTCGCGATCAAGAAACCGTTCTCGAACCTCGACCGACGAATGATCGGCATCCTCTCGTCCATCAAAAGCCCGACAACACGTGAACTGACTCGTGGGCATCTTGCCGGCGGTCCGCCGAACAAACTGCTTCGTGCACCGAGCTCCTCTTGCCACACGGCTCCCGTGCACGACTCCTCACGCGCTCGCCAGGGACCTCCGTCATGCGCCGCCGCGTGCTCATTCGCCTGCAGTGTCGGCACTGCTTGCTCTCCTCTGCACCGCGCCGAGTGCCCGCCGTGCATCACCGGGGACCTGGAATGCCGCGACACGTATTCTTCGTATAGAAGATTGGAACGCGAAGCTGTCGCGATTTTCAGCCTGCGCGTCAGAGCGTGCGACTCGCACGTTAGCCGGCAGCGGGCACGGTGGACACTGGTACTTTGATCCGGGTATGTTACGTCGGGGAAGCTGAGCGAGAAGAGGGACGTGCTTCAGTTCGGGGTTGCTGCTGCTTGAGGATCGTGAGTTTGAGGAAGGTGACTGGACGTGGAGATGGGAGCAAGCTTCGATCGTGGGTTGGGTTTGCGTATGTTGAGGAGTGGAGCGGCGGAGGTTTGCGGCGGCGAGGGCGGCGAGGGAAGAGGGAGTGAGAGGGTGTAGGGCTTGGCGGCGAGGTGTGTGTCGGAGGAGGAGGAGAGGAGGCGCGCGGGATGGGGAGTAGGTGGTCGAGGGAACTGCTGAGGTGTGTTGAAGTTAATTTATTGGCCGAGATTGCACAGTAGTTTTGAAGAGCGACAATATTTCTCGGGGCTGGAGGAGATGCTATAAAGAAGAAAGGTGACGTCGGAGCAGCAGCACGACCGAACAAATTAGAATGTTTAAGGATCACGTAGAAGAAGGGGAAGATGGGATTCTTTCATATGAGTTATTATGGGAGAGAATGTTTTTTTCCGGTGTTACAATCATATTATCTGCAGATTTCTTATATATGTCAGCTATTGATCAATAATATATATGCGTAAATCGCAGCAATAATATGCAGAAGAAGATGAAGTAAATCAATTCTGATCATTAACTGGATTACTACGGAGAAGAACTTATTATCTTCTCGGAAATTATTTACGAATAATACTAATTCTTCGAGTGTTTTTAATTTGCCTCTTGTATACCACATAAATGGCAACTTTTTATCCTTCTGTCAGCAATTTTTGCTTTCAAAGTCTCTTCTTCAGGCCTCTTATTTATTTACTTTATAAATTTCTTCTTCATTGTATTGCTTTTCATATAAGCACATAAATTTAAGGCATTTCGTTCGGTCTTCTAGTGATTAAGGTATCTTCGATGGACTTTGTGTACAAGACTAAGACTTTCGTGGGCATGGTACCAATCACGGACTTAAAATTTGCTGTTTTTTTGAGTGAGATTCAATTTCGATTTTTTCTTTCCTCCCTCTCCTGAAAGAAAGAGCCAGTTTGTTGCTAATTAAGAAAAAAAAACAACAAGTAATATCAGAGACGGGACAGTGTTGGGAAAGCAACTTGCATGAACCTATCAAAGACTTAGTTTTGGTTAATAAGAGGGGACAGTTGGAGAAAGCAAACTTGCCATGAACCTACAAGACTATTTTTGGTTGGTGCAAAATAATATTATAGACAGTTTATATATAATATATATATCATATATTATATATAATATATACTAATATATATATATACTATATATTATACATTGTAAAAAAGGTAAGATTCTTTCGACTATAATACCATCAATTCATATATATATACAATACATGAATGGATGGTATATAGCTCGAAAATTCTATTTTACACTTTTTTACAATGTATAATATTATATATTATATATATATATATATATAATTATAATATATATATATATATATATATATTATATATATATATTATATATATATATATATTACATATATATATATATATATGTAGCAAACTATCTGTCAACTTAAAGTGGACGTCCCACTAAGTTTCCTTATCCATTGATGATTTATACGACTTGAGCAATATATGCTGGAATGATCCGCCCTGTTAAACCTTGATCTAACATTATCTTAAAACCGCCAACACACCAAAGTTGGTGAAATCCCGTACGTGTTTGACCATTCATCCACTGCGTATTAATTTTAACAGGTTTCGAATGAATAGAAAACTTTATTACATGGCGACGGAAGGGTAAACCACAACTGGCTGTTCACCCCAAATTTGGTTGTGTTGGTTTAGAATAATGTAGATCCAAGTTTAACGAGCGGCATCATTCCACAATGTAGCTCATCAGTGATCATCAAATGATAAGAAACTTATGAGTCCACTATAAGTTGTATAGAAGTTTGTTCATTAATATATATATATATATATAATATTATATATATATAAATATTATCTATATATCCAATAGATTATATATATATATATTATATATATATATATATACTTATATATATATATAGGAGAGAAGAGGAGAGAGAGACTGGAAGGACGAGAAGAGCCGCTATTTCAGTTTTGTGACGTTTATACGCATTGAGGCTACAATTCGGCGGGGGGGGGGGGGGGGTTGAAAAAAAACCCAGGCCAACTTTTCAGATTCGCTCTCTCTCTCTCTCTGCCATCAATTCTCTTCCCCTATTACAAATAATCACCCTTCTCTCATTCTTCCCCCAAAGAACCCAAATGAACGCAGGACCACGCTCGCTCTCCAACGCTCTGCCAATCGACCACCGACCAACCATTCTCCACGATCAACTCTCCGATGACCCCCCTTCCACCATCTCTGCTCGAGCGCGCCCCTCACCTCTACTAGAGCTCAGCCCCCCTCGAAGCTCGAGTCGGCAGCCAAGCTCCTCCGCTTCCGGACGATCTCATATCGTCCCACGACCGTTCGCCAGCGATTCCCCGTCGCCCAGCCTCCGGGAGGTGGTCGAGGAACTGCTGAGGGTGTTGAAGTTAATTTATTGGCCGAGATTGCACAGTTTTTTGAAGAGCGAAATATTTCTACGGGGCTGGAGGAGATGTATAAAGAAGAAGGTGACGTCGAGCAGCAGCACGACGAAAAATTAAGAATGTTTGCAAGGATCACGTAGAAGAAGGGGAAGATGGGATTCTTTCATTATGAGTTATTATGGAGAGAGAATGTTTTTTTCGGTGTACAATCATATTAATTACTGCAGATTTCTTTATATATGTCAGCATGATCAATAATATATATGCGTGAAATCTGCAGCAATAATATAGCAGAAGAAGATGAAGGTAAATATCAATTCTTGATCATTAACTGGATTACGTACGGAGAAGAACTGTATTATCTTCTCGGAAATTATTACGAAATAATACTAAATTCTTCGAGGTTTCTTAATTTGCTCTCTGTAGTACCACATAATGGCAATCTTTTATCCTCTGTCAGCAATTTTTGCTTCAAAACGTCTCTCTTCAGGCTCTTTATTTATTTATTTATATAATTTTCTTTTCATTGATTGACTTTTCATATAAGACAATAAATTTAGAAGGCAATCGTCGGTCTCTGTGATTAAGGTATCTTCGATGACTTTGTGTACAAGACAAGAATTTTCGGTGAGCATGGGTACCAATCACGGACTTAAATTTGTGTTTTTTTGGGGTGTATGTCAATTTCCGACTTTTTCTTTCCTCCCTCTCCCTAAAGAAAGAGCCAGTTTGTTTGCTAATTAAAGAAAAAAAAACAAAGTAATAAGAGAGGGATCAGTTGGGAAAGCAAACTTGCATGACACCTACAAGACTAGTTTGGTTAATAAGAGAGGGAGTTGGGAAAGCAAACTTGCATGACACCTACAAGACTATTTTGGTTGGTGCAAATTAATAG